GTCAGTGGGGCTACTAAATTAAACTGGTGGGGATAGTGCATTTTGTCGTCATGTTGTATTGTTGTGTGTAGAAACTAGAACGTATACCCATGTTGGCTGGTTTAGAGTGCAGATGCCAAATAGGCATATGAGCCATGAGGTACTACAATAATACAATTAAATAATTTCTAAATATGTAGTTCTATTATTTTATAAAATATAGATATTTATAGTAGCTAGCTAAATTACACATAAAATTTACAATAGTCCAACTTTTATTCATTCTTGCTCTTGATTTACGTTCATCTTTGACGTTCTCTCTACGTATCGTTTATACATCTCGCATTTCTCATCTTTTTTCACAAAGTTATTGATGTTGATAACTCTATATATTTTCGTATAAACCAAAAGAAGAGGCATATAGTAGTATTTATAAAAGAATTTATACTATCTAAATCCTACTAACATTACTCATGTTCTAACACAATTTATTGCTCAAGTAGTCGAAACTCACAAATTGGACTCTTTAATATTGGAACATTTGATATTTTATTAAATACATACTATTCATTCAATTAGGTCCAACTAACTATATGTTTCATAATAATAAAAGAATATAAAATATTGTTACAGTCCAATCCTATCAACAACAAATGAACCTAAACGAATATATAATTTGTAAAAAAAAAAAAATTGCTCTAGAATCGTAACCCATATATGACCATTAGTTTCGGTGACTAGGGGCGTAGCCAAATCGGGACTGTAAGATGTATAGTTGTTATTTGAACCAAGTTGTGTGCTGATATAGTTCGATTTGACTTATGAAATTCAACCTCGACTAGCTTGTACAATTAAACGAGCCAAACTCGAATAGCTAATCGAGTTTATCCATCAAACAAGTCGAGTCGAGCGTGTTCGCTATCAACTTTGTTAGAGTTTTGAGTTTTAGTCTTGGTTTTAAAGTTCATTAATCGAGTCAAACCGAGTTTACACAAATCTAACTTGATAATATTGTTTGTTTAATATACAAGCTGAGCCACGAGCTCGCTCGCTTATTAACTGAGCACGGATTCGATTATGAAGTACTCGGCTCAATAATCTAGCTAGATCATGTATAATGAAGTAAAAGTATGAATTTTTAAAAAATATATTTAATATAAATTATATGAATCACGAATCAATGATATTAAATATAAATGTTGCACTTACAAAAATAATAATATTAATTATTATACTTTAAAGTCCTGTTTTATATGAAAATGATCATCCTTCAATAAAAATTTATGAATTATTTACTACTTTCTTATACATATGACAAATTATTGATTTATTATTATGTGCTTAAGTTTTAACTAGAAAAAATAACATAATTTATTAGAAAGAAAATGTTATGAAGCAGAGTAATAATTCCATCATTCTTCTTATATTACAATTTTTTAAAGTTCATATATCATTTCATTGGATATGTCACACAAATAATGAGATTTAGTTATAGATGTCATATATTCAAATATCATTTATTTATGAATTCAATGAAATAAACACGACATTGTGAAATCCATACAATCAGTTACATGTTAAGTATTTAAATGGAAGTCTAGCATAATCAATATTGATTCGTATAAAATTATTTGAATAAATATTAAAAATAAACACAAAAGAAGACAAAAATCGACATAATAAGCTAAAAATAAAAACGGAATGAGACTGAAATCATTTCAAATAAATAATTCATTCATTATATCTACAATAAATTTAACTTAGTTTGAGCTAAAATAAAATTAACACAAGGTTAATCTAATTTAATATGAACTAGTGCATAGCCCGTACGATGCACGGATAAACAATATGTCTTTCATAGCATGTAAAATTATATTATCACACGTGCATAATAAAATCTACATCTTAAGTTCATATTTAATGTTTTTAAATGGAATAAAATCCTTCATTTTAGGGATCATATGTATTTAATATGTTCAAATTTATCTACATATCGGCAATTTAAAATTTTAATTTGAAGATAACTCGAATATATGATTGCAAAATATAGTTAATAATTAACCAGTCGCAACATTAGGATTTGGTATTTCGAAATTTAGAAAAAATAAAATCATTAATTTAGAGAAGATATATGATAAATCTACCTGAATCTCGTATACATCACGTTTTACAATTAAAGCAATTTAAGTATGGCGATTAAGATATTTTGAATCTCTGATTTAAAACAAAGACCATAAAAATTTAGAGGATGATATGTGATAAATCTATGTATACATCACGTTTTACAATTAAAACAATTTAAATATGGAAATTATTCTTATTTCGAATCTCTGATTTAAACAAAGACCATAATAATTTTGATCGTTTCAAAATTCGACTCGTGTATTATTTTTCATTATAAATAATTGTCAAACAAAACAATTGAATCACCCGCAACTTCATTCTTTTAATTGAAACTGCTTGATTTGATGGCTAGAAAAAATATTTTCAAAAGAAATAAACAAATAATTTTTTTTAAATATATATTTTTACCCTTAAATTAGCCGTAATTTTTTTTAAATAAAATCTGTTAATCAAAACATATGTATTAGCCAATTTTATAGAAAAAAAAGTTTCTGATATTTTGAAAATACAAAAGTATATTCTTATGGTTAGAAAAAATAACACATAATTTTTTTTATTATTAAATCAATTGTAAATTATTTTATTAAAAATAAAAACTACCAAGCAAAGCAATTGTATTAGCCGAATATCTTAGGTGGTTGTATTCAATTGAGATTCTTAAGGATTTTTTAAAACTTTTTAAATTTGGTGACTTTTGTGGACTTTGTAAAACTTTCATGATTTTGGTGGACTTGTTGAGACTTTTAGATAATTCTCATTAGTGACTTTTTAAGACTTTCATAATTGACTTTTTAAAACTTATTGAGACTTTTATATACTTGTAGTTATAATATTATGTTTAAATGAAACATTAATAAATGTAACATAATAACTAATATCAAGAAGAATAAATGAAAAAAATGTTTTATATGTTAATCCTCTAAAAACTTACGAGTCAACTCATTGTTATGCGAAATGAATTATTCACTAACAAATTATTTAGGATTTTAGATTTATTAAAGAGAAAATCAATCCGAGCTTCAACGAGTCGAACTATGGAAGATACAAACATTGTCGAAAAACAGTAATTGTATTTTATAAAGTTATCAATAATATTCAAAACAATGCAATATCAACAAATAAACTATTAGAAAATAAAATACTATTATTAATATTAAAAAATAAACATTGACAAATAAAAAGAGAGAACAGATAAATTATTTGCAAGTGCAAATTATAAAAGCATTTCACCTTTGGAAAATCAAATTCACAAGATAACAAAATGAAAGAATAAAGGTATACATACATAAAATAACCATAATAAAAAATATATAAAATAAAGATCACGTTAAATATACGTAATGATTATACAAGGTATCAAAATAAATGAGTAAAATAATAGAGCTTGAAAGTGATATGAGATACAAAGTCGTGTTAGAAAGAAAAAAGAAAGGGAGCGTGGAGAGAATCACATAAGTCCAGCAAAAGAAAGGGACTTTCTCACAAAGTCTTCATATTTTGAATACAGGGTGACTTATAGAGACTCCCATAAAGTTTTAATTGAATACTCTGAGACTTTTAAGGACTTTTTAAAAGTCTTTAAAAGTCTCAAATGAATACATGTAAACTTTTCAGAAGTCTCTAAAAGTTTTGATTGAATACACCAGAATTCTGAAAATCTTAAAAAGTCTCTAAAAGTTGAAATTGAATACATCCCCCCCCCCTATTTTAAATTTGGAGAATATAATTGGCCGATATTTAATTGAATTAGCAGTCGTGACGTACATTTTTATTCAAATTTAAAAATAGCTTCTTGTAACCAACCAAATTTAATTGATGCAGCCCGTGCATTATCAGCTTTTGATATGCACATCGTGTCAAACCATCGCAAATTTTCAATAGACCAAATTTAAATAGCAGTTCGCTTTTTTGAAAATAAAAAAGTAACAAACTCCTCATTTTAAGGATAACATTTAATGATGTCCGTTTTTTATTAAAAAAATATTAAAAAGATACTATAAATGTCATGTTATTAATATTGATCAGTTTTGACCAAGGATTGAAAATAAAAAATATTAACAAACTCCTCATTTTAAAGTATTTTTTATTAGTATAAATGGAGAAATTCAGAAAATTAATTAAGGCCCTGCTGGAGCCACCCCAGCCATTGGGTGGCTATGCCTTGCTGTCGGGTGGCACACAGCATTCCAGCAAGTCCCGTGGCCAGACACACGCACACACATGACACATGCTAGTGCTAATACATAAAATAAATATATATATTACCACAACTAATAAAGAAAAGGACAGTATGGGACTTAGAAAAACCCACGACTTCCAGTATTAAACAACCATTGAAATTAAATACAGTCCGGGAGAGAGTACATTATTTATATGTAGTAAATACCAAGGTAATTGGAAAATTTAAAATATGTAACTTTTTTTATAAGGTAAAACTCATGAATATGAAATTGTTCTGGTTTTAATCAATATTCACACAAATTTAATTTATTAATCTACTATTAAAAATCACACCGTTCAAAATATTTCTATACCAATCTATGATAAGGCAGGCTATATGTTGGATTTGGATATATATATATGCAGCAGTTTTTTCATCATTTGTTATTATTTATATACTTCAATTTCCACGCCACTTGTTAAGGGTAGTGGATAAGAATAAGACAAAAAGCTACCAGCAAAACCACGGCACCAAAAAGATCTTTCAGTCTAACCATGGTCTATCCATTCCTAACCATGGTTCACCCCAATTTAAATATAGCAACCTCCGCTTGAGAATCCATGGCGATCATGACAGCGCCACTAGAGTGAGAGTCAGTCAAGTCCCAAAAAATAATAGTCAT